ACACACACACACACACACACACAGAGTCACAGACAGATACACACACACAGATACACACAGAGTCACAGGCGACAAATACACAGTCACAGACAGACAGATAGACACACACACAGAGACACATACAGACACACAGTTACAGACAGACAGACTGACACACAGTCACAGACAGACATACAGACACACATACAGACAGACAGACTGACACACAGTCACAGACAGACAGACATACAGACACACAGACACAGACATACACACACACACACACACACACACACACACACAGAGGGGGAGAGATATTCGGGGAAACCATCTTCATCCCTTAGACTTGGGTCTGGGAAGCGCTGCCTCCCTTTGGGCAGTTGGATGGTGCATGAGTAAGCTCCAGTTCAAGCTATGGGGCAGACTCTCAGGGAGAAGTGGGTCGGTGCTGAGCCCATGCGCCTGCACCTGTCAATCACCCTCCCTTGGTGACTCAGAGATGCAAGGCAAGTGTTTTATGCTTCAGCTCCTACACTGGTAAAATGGGGACAATAGTAAGATGAACGTTACTGTACCGTCCTGGTAATTCAATGAGAAATCAGAAGTGCTGTGGCCTTGCCAGGGCAGCAGTGAGCCTTAATTACGGGCCTGCTCACTGTTATGCACCATCCCCCACCCTCTGCCATGCTCGATGTACTACAGTAAATGCAGAGATACAGGACAACCTCTGTCTGGGCCTTAGACTGCATAACGCAGCTGCAATGCCTGTAGTCCTTGGAGCCCCGAGCTCACCATTTCTGTGATTTCGGCAATGTCTTCTCTGTGTTCCCAGCTAGGAAACATGTTGGTGAACGTCAGGGGCTCTAGCCCAGCATGGATAAGGTAAGACTTGGGGGGTGGCCTTTTGAGATTCTTTCCTGTGGGGATGGAGAATACACATGTCAGTGGACCCAAGGATTCATTCCTCCTGCTTTTTCTCAGGCTCCTCCCATTTCCCTTCCGAACTCTTGGCTTCCACGTTTAGAATGTGGCCATGAGTCACTCGTAAGAATGCATGGGTGCTGTTTATCTGAAAGGTGACTCATGTCTATCTCTACAACACAGATGTCACACTGCTCTTACCCCCCCCCCACCTCCTCAACCTGGCAAAATGTTTCTGAACCTCTGAGGATGGGGGTGGGGGGTGGGGGGGGACATAAGAGTGTTGGGAAACTCCAGCTATGGCTGCTTCCCTTTCATTTGCCTGGTCATTTTCCCTGGAGGATTTCCCTGAGGAGGACAAGCTTTGAGAGCAGGTGACAGGCAATGGTAGCATCTTCCAGGTGCTGTGAGCATTTGGTGGGATTTGAAAGATGGTTCACAAAGAGTTTTCCCTGGCAAGAATCAACTGAACACACTCCAGTGCATTGAGAGAGCCAGTAAGCTATCAACATGCAGACAAGACATTAGTTACTGGCATTTACCTTCTGTAAAAGGCTGGATTCCACATGGATGCTAAAAACTATGTTTTGGTTGTTGCTGTTGTTATTATTGGATACAATACCAAAAGAAAGGCTGGCATTGGCTTTTAGCCAGTTGGGCACATTTTGCTTCTCTAACCCTGGCACTGCTTGAAGAGAGACTTGTGCCATGGAGGTCACTTAGCTACTTTCCCCCATGTTCAGAGTGGTATCAGTGCAGGTGGTGTCACAATATACCTGAGGGTAGCCCTGTGATTTGAAAGGGAAATATGGACTCTCTTTTGTTCTGGTAGCAGAGAATGTACTGATCTTAAGATTGACAAGCCTCCAGTGGTTTAAGGAGGAGTGCTGGAGCCTTCTCAAGGCTGCGAGCATCTCAGAGGGACATGGCTAGGCCTGTGTGGGCTCTCCGCCCCTCCCTCCTGCCCTCACCTCGGCAGTACTGCAGGACTGTCTCCATGGCGCTCTTCCTGTCTGAGGCCCAGCGAATGCGGGCAGAGCCGGTTATCTTGTTTTCAGCGGGCCACCAGCCTTGCCAGAGGTACACCTCATGATGGTTGTCAACAAGGAAGAGAGCTGTGAGGAGAACAGGGCCATGAGGGACTCCTTCCCTGCCCAGCAGAAGCCCTGCTGCTCTGTGAGCTGTTCCCACAGCCCTCTCGCCAAGGTTCAGAGTGATGGGTCAGCGGTGACCCTGCACACTCATCCCTGAGCTTACTCTGAAGGTCCCTAGCAGCGAGAAGAGGTGACTCACGGAAGGCCTCTTTGCTTCCCGCCCTTTCCCAGATCACCCACAGATCGCTAGTGACTTTCTCTGCTGTCAGCCACCTCTGGTCTCCAAAGAGCTCTCACAGTGGCTTGCTCTCAACCACCGTGACGCTCTGAGCAGTGATGGCTCTTTTACAGGGATGTGAACTTTGAACAGAATCCTCCTGGCTCTTCTTCCTTGTCTGTAAGCCTCCACCTGACTCTTGCTTTGTGTGGCAAATGCTCTCCAACTTGCCATCTCAGTGGCCCCAAGGTCTCCCTTGATGTGCATTTTGGGATTGCTTTAAAAGCCAGTGGTTGTTAACGACCCATCCAGAGTCCAGGAATGCAAGGGCAGAGAGTGCTCTTCTCTTTTAGATACTCGTGGCTGCTTCCCATAGTGCATACATAGTGTGATGTATGCATCTACCAAGATCTGAGCTAGTGGTAGAGCAGCTACTGTAAAATGAGGCCCCAGGCTCTGGACAACTATGAGCTCGTGGGCTTGATTGACAGGAAGGTGGGAGGGTCTACAGAACTCATTTCCTTGGCATAGATTTGAGTATTAAGGTATAACTTGGAGGGAATACTACTGATCTTGGAATTGGGAGACCAGGTCTGCAATCTTAGCTCTGCCGGGAGCTTGCCCACGTCCCTTTCCTTAGCACTTGCTTTTCCAGAATCCTTTGTAGCTGGAGTGGCCACATGACATCTTCTGGCCAATGGGATAAAGCAGAAACGTTTACCGGCACTAGAGGAATGTAAGAAACTCCCCCCTTTCTGTTTCCTCAGTTTTGAATACAAACATGAGAGGAAGGGAAGCTCACAAGAGACCATGAAGCAGAAAGTTGGAGAGGCAGGCTGGGAGGATATTAAGGATGCTATGTGGTGCTGTCAACTGGCTCTTTGATGTAGGAAGTAACTGAGTTCAGTTCCTGACACAAAGTTACGTGGCTGATTTTCTTGTTTTCTTTTGTGGTGGGTAGATAAAGGGAGATGCCCCAAGCAAGTCTGCTAATAGTATACTTGGCAGATAGGAGTTTCTTACAGTGAGAAAAAGAAAGGCTTCCTAGAAGGCGTTACGTGACCACGCCCCCTGCAGGGCTTACCAGGCTGCGGGGCGCTGTACAGATCCTCCTGCAGGAAAGGCATGGAGCTGACGGCAGAGGGCGCTCGCGCGGGGTACACGAACTCTGTAGCTGAGAAGTCTCCGGAGGAACTGCTGAGGATGAACAGGCGGGGCGCGAAGTTAAAACTTCCAGGATCTTCCAAAGAAAAGAGAACAAAACTAAGGACACCATATGGACCAGCTTCCAGATAGACTGAAGGTAAAACACGAAACAACTCCAAGAACAGGAGGGAAATCAGCAGGATTTGGTCTATATATCCTAGGAAGTCTGCTTTAGTTATTTTTGCAGTGTTGGGTATCAGACATAGGCTTCCGGAATGCTAGGCAAGCACTCTACCAATGAGCAGGGACTAAAACTGTGTGTGTGTCTGTGTGTCTGTGTGTGTGTTTCTCTGTGTGTGTCTGTGTGTGTGTCTGTGTGTGTCTCTCTGTGTGTGTAGGTATTCTGTTCTGACAGACAGACAGACACAGACACAGGGTAAGCATAAAAGATCATCCCAGCACTCTGAGCTACTAAATCAAACATAAACAGTGTTTTCCCCAGGATACTGTGCTTGGTTCATAAGTATTGGGAAATGTCCCCTTTTGATAATTTCTTCTAAGGAAGAAAGTTGGCCCAATGTTCTGGGGGACACTGGTTGATAGAGGAGTCTCACATCTAGAAATTTACCTTAATTGTGGAGAAGTAATTAATTTTGAGGGTATGCCAACCACACTATTGTACAATAACGAAAACATTGGCTATTGCTCCCCAGCTGTGGAGGAAGGGTAGGTGAAGTGGACTATATTACACTGTACTAGTGTCACTAACATCTCAGTGGCAGCAAGGGGGCGCTGTGGCAATAAAGGGAGAGGGTGGCTTACAGGACAGTCGCCCTGCTTGTCTTTTCATTGAGAATTGGGTAGATAGTGCAGGAACACTTGGGTTCCAGTTGTCTGTGACATGTTGAACAGCTGATGCTCATCAGAGACGATTAACAGACGACAATTTGTTTTGTGATTTTTATGATTATAGTATATTTTAAGGAAAGACACACTCACACCCCCCAACTTCACTTTGATGGATGAGGACAGCTATTCTGAAGTCAGGGTATGAAACAAAGAAGTTTGGTGTTTAGATTTGGGTCCCATCCCTAAGATATCTCAATCTTAGAAAATTCAGAAAGGCTTCTGGTTTCTGGATGGGGCTCCCCACTGTCCTCACACACCCAGCCAGCTAGTCTGACCACTGGTGCACCCCACGTCCCTTCCTTTTAGCTGCCTTACCCATTGATCTCTGTGACATGCACATCTTGTGTGCTCTGTCTTTGCCTGCTGCCTTGTGAATGGCAGCAAATGCTTATAAGTCAGCTCCAGGACACGGACATAAAGTCCCTCAATCAAGCCTACACTGAACACACACATCTTACTCTGCCCTCTGCAGGGACTGTCCCTTTTCCCTCAAAGGGATCTGAGTCCTTGAAAGGTTGAGATCCGAATGAAGGGGTCCCACAATTCTTTCTTCTCTGTCTGCTGCCTGCAGACTCGAAGCCACGCCATTCAACAATGGCCTCTCCTGAGCAGCTTTGAGTTCCAGGTTCCAAGTCCAAAGCTGGTGCTAACTCACATGTCTCATAAACGATCTCCAGCAGGCACTGAGCTGCAGCACCGTCTTCGAAGTCTCCCCATCCAGCCCCGACTGCTGAGAACTGGTTGTCTCGATATGGCTCAGGGTTTTCTGCTCAAACCCTCCTGTCTGGTGGGGACATACCGTCTCCCTGGGTTTCCCATTGCTTTCTTTACTGTGGATGTTGGCCAAACCCAACAGCTTGTCATGCTACTGCTTATCTCAGACTTCCCTCCTTTTTTTTTGTCACGTCACACCAGCCCTAGAGGCACCGTGCAAACACCGCCTTCCCACAGAGCTGTGTATGACTTCCCTGGTGGGACAATCCTCTTTTTTTTTTTCATGTTCACACTCTTTCATGACACGTTTTTGTTCACAAGAGGATGAGTCATATACAGAGTGTGGCTTAGCTTCTTCTTAGAAGACATCGTTTGGGAGAACTACCCTTGCCTCTATTCACTGTGTGCCATACACAGCAAATGCTCAGTAAATCTTTACAGTTGTGTGTGTGTGGGAGGCAGTGTATGTGGCATACGTATACATGTGAATGCATGCGTGTACATGTGAATGCATGCGTGAGGAGCTGGAGCTCCCCAGCTAGACTGGAGATAAAGTCCCAGGAGCTCTCCTGCTCCCCTCCTCAGGTTCTAGGATTTCAAGGGTGCACCACCATACCCGACATTGTTACACGTGTTCTGGAGATTTGACTTGGGTCTTCATGCTTACATGGCAAGCCCTTTGCTGGAGGAACCAGCCCCAGACCTCAGTAAGTGTCTCATGAGTGAGCTGAAAGGATGAACATGGTGTTAGTTACCTTGAAGCATGCAGTCATAGGCCTTCCTGTCCCTCCTCCCCAGAGCATCCCAGAATCCCAGGGGCTCGGATCCTTCGTCACACTCATGTATTGTCACGTTGCTGCTGCTGTGCAAGCCTGCTTCCAAGGGACATCTGTGTGGGGAGACATGCTGGAGGTTTATAGAAGCCTGCGGAGTGTCTGCAGGACAAAGTTATTCCAGACCAAATCCACGGATGACTTCTTCACTCTCTCACTAAAGAGAGCAATTATCACTGATGAACGAAAAAATATTCTGTAAAAGTTCTCTCAGCATTTGTGCTGGAGGAAGTGGGGCCAGTTTGCTCTGGGGAAGCATGCAGAGCTATGCAGGTCATGAAGACAATGTTCACTTTTATATCTAACAGTGTGCTTCTTCTTATTCTTCTCTGCTGCTAGAACATAAACTGCATGAGGAGAAAGACAGGTGAGTTTGTTCACTGCCATCTCCCTGATCCCTTCTTTGGCACCAAGTAGTTGTTCAGTGTTTACCAAATGAGTAAGTGAATGAATGTTCTTAATGGCCCAAGCGAAAAACCATTTGGGGCATGAATGCTATTGGATCCCTCATGCAACAGCTTTTAAACTCCGCCCACCTTCACCATCCACAGAAGGATGTACTGAGAGTCCACTTTCATCTGTCTGCCTACTGGAAGGTCACTTGTCTTTCTTCTCTTTCCCCTTACGGCCCAGCACTGTCCTTCAGAGGAGTGGGGAGAAAAGCAGATCCCACTGTTCCATTTCAATGCCCACAGGATAGGCTGACCCAAGCTGCCCTTTGGTGGTACGTGATGGACCCCTCCATTTTTAGGAAGGAACCCAGCTGTTCTCAAGGAATTGAGGCTGCCCAGACTGCTGATAAGAGCAGAGACAACGTGGCAGCCCCTCTGGCTATGCTGCTCCTCCTGAGGACCTTGCCCATCAGGAAGACACCAGGAGAAAACCCCAGTGGTGTGGCCCCCAGGATTGCTGACCTAGGGTCTGAGAACTCGCTGTCATCTGCTGACCAGCAGCTGGGCTCCATGCTTTCTAAAGAAAGGACATGTTCTAATCCCCAGTTTCTTCATTAGCTTTGCCTTTCTGCAATTCCAATATTATGCACACTCAGACTCCTGCAAGACACTTACATGTCTCTTTAACAGCAGAGGCTGCAAGCAGAATGCTCAGAAGCAAGTGACACTTATGGAAAGAAGCCAAAGTGTGACTATGTTAGCTGGGGACATCTGCCTCGCTGTTGCTATCTTTTTGTTCCCCAAGATGAAATTTCACTAGATAACCCAGGCTGTCCCTAAACTCTTGGGCTAGCCTGTCCTCCTTCTCTCAGCCTTCTAGGATGCTGGGGCTGCAAAGATCCACCACAGTTCTCAGTGATGCCTTTTACAGAGGCAGGCACGTCCTCAGAAAGCTGGAAGAGCCTGCAAATTGGAGGCTTCAATGGACACACATATCCTCTGGACTTATGTCAGCCCTGGCTGTAGTTCCAAAGGTCCCTGAAGTCACTTTAAACATATGCAGCATCCCTTGTTGGGGTTCCTCCTGCCTCTGCCCACCTGCATCCCTCTGGGAAGCCCCTTGGTGCAGAGAATACTCACTCTTCCTTGATCTTATTTGCCGCAGTCCTTCCAACCTCCTTCGTATGGCCTTGAGCTTTGCATCCGTGCCACAGGTAAATGAGGGCCTTGTTTATATTCAGAACAACCATGGAAGTCCTGGACCTCAGGCTGCTGCAGTGACAGGCCACCTCTAGCAAGTTCCCTTCCATGGGCACCTCTCCTCGCACACAATACAGTCTCCATTCACCTGTGGGGACAGCAGTGTCACAGAGCTAAGAAGGAGCAAGCATGGGAGGAGTGGCCCTTTGTGCTCCCCTAGGCTGTCAAAGACATACACTGTTGGGATTTCAGGACCCGAGGATGAAGGCCTGCTGAGCACGGACAGCAGTGCGTGGTCTGGAGTTATAAACAGGTTGCCAAAAGTTCAAATGGCAGGAAAAAAATCTTTCCAAGATTTACATTAAATAACTAAAACTCTAAAGAGAAAAATGCTAAGGATTTAGTGGTAGGGTGCTGGCCAGTGAAAAGATTATGATAGAAAATCTACTGGTTTTTCATTTCCATGAACGGTGTAGATAGTTATTGAGAATTCATTTCAAGGCCTCCCACACAAAAGAGCAGATCAGGAAAGAAGGGTGTGCGGAATGGGAGTCCCCAGGATGCTAACCAGGCCAGCATCAGGTAGCTTTCAGCGGGAAAGACATAGCTATATGATGTCAGGCTCATATGGCTTACTTTAAGGTTTTCAATTATATATAAATGTAATTATAAAATGTATTTTATTTATATATAAATATATACTTTAAAATTAATATATATCTGAGTGCACACATGAGTGCAGTGCTTGTGGTTGCCAGAAGGGGGTGTCAGATCCCCCTGGAACTGGAGTTACATGTGGTCGTGAACTGCCTGATTATTGTGGGTCCTCTATAAGCCCAGAGTGCATTCTTAACTGCCTAAGTCATCTCTCCAGGCCCTAGACTTACTGTAAAGCCCTCCATCCCAAGCACCTCCAGGGAGAAGAGACAAACACAGACTTGTAGCACTAGAAGTCACTTACTTTGCACGTTTTCTTCTTCCTCTTCCCTCCGTCCGGAGTGCACCACCATTCCCCCCTGGAAACACTGAAGGAAGCAGGGCGGCTCCTTTCCCTGCAGGACCTGGACCTTCAAATTTAAATAAGGAAAAACAGGTCAGACGACAGGGCTGTCAAAGGTGTGAGAATAATGCTTGCCTGTTTCAGGGAATCTGGGCACCACCAACAGGACACACAGAATATCCCACTGCCTTCTGAAGCTAAGCAGGATTAAAAGTGTAACACATAGGGCTTCTTTCACAGTATTTTCAAGGATGTGTTTTCCCATCATACGAAGGTAGGGATGCTATGTCCTGGTGCCTCATGCAGCTTCTTTTGACAATCACTGGTTTTCTGTCATGGAATATTCTTCAGAGATACGGTATTTTATGTATGGCTATGATGTGACATGTGTAATTTAACGTGTAGATTTAAACGTGTGTAATGTGTTTAACAATGTCCACCCCTCAGAAGAGTTGCTGACTTAGTGAGTCTGGAGGGATGCCCTTGCTGTAGCATCTGTGGTAGGTTAGGTCTTAAATGCCTCTCAGGGCCATCCCCTCAGGGCTCAGCTTCCCCAGGCTAAGATAGCAAAGAGGTGGGTAGGGCCTCGTGGGGAGTCCTTAGGTCACTGGGAGTCTGTCCTTGAAGGGGATTATTAGACCCTTGCCTCTTCCTATCCATCTCTTTTGCTTTCTGGAAATGAACCAACTGTTTTCACTCTTGAGATGCATTGCTGACATGAATTAGTCTCTCTACAAGCCTGAAACAAACATGGTCAACCAACTATACCTGAGAACCAGAAGGAATATTTCTCTTTTTAAGTAGAGCACCTGGGGTGTTTATCATAGTGACAGGAACAGACACTGTATCCTTGTGCGGGTTGACAGGGCTCTCTCTCCCTGACTACTCTGTTTTTCCCTCATCAGGTACTAGTGCACCACTTGCTCTCGCTTTGGCAGACTCCATCCTGTACAGAAGGAAGGAAAGTTCTTCAAACACATCTGGGCATCCAAAAAGGCAGAAGTATTTTGCACCATAAGCTACACTGCTAAGTGCAGGTCTGCTTGCCACGGGCAAGCGCCATTTCGTGGTGGCGCTATGTGTCCATGATGATTTTCCATGTGTTGGATTGAAATAAGAAATGCTCAGAGTAGAATGATTAACCCCAAAGTCCAGGTGTGCTTTGAGTCCAGGGTTAAAATATGTTCACTTATGGTTTCTATAAAATCAGGCAGCTGAAATCACCCAGTGTGTGGAATAAGTTGAAATGCCATTGTTGCTAAGGTCTATTACTAAAATATGATCTACAGTGTAAAGTATTCATTCTGTCTTAAAATTACTTTTAGGGCACATAATTAGTTCTGAGAACGGCACCAAGCTGAATGAGCGTGGCTCTGTTTCTAGAAAGCACTTCTCTGCTCTCCTCCCTCACGCTCCTGCCAATTAATCATCCATCCAGGATGGTAAAAATACTCGCCCATATCGCCATGTGTCCCAAAAGCTCTAGAGCCGCTCTACATCGCTGGCACTAATGGATGTGACACAAGGCAGAGATCATCGAAATATTAAAGACACTTTGGGGGCCATGCCAGGGATGCGGCCCAACAGGTCTGTGCTGCTTAGCACCCACAGTGCCCTGAATGTGATCCCCAGTGCCAAGTCCAGAAGCCCCCATAAAACAGCTTATAAAGTCTTGATGGCCCTGGATTTGGGTAGTAGTGCCTGCCAGGCACGTTGGAGGCTCCGAGGTCAGAGCCTGAGAGTTGGGATCTCTCTCTTGCTCACCGGGAACAACGTTGTACACAAGTAAACAAATGACAGTGTGATTTTCAGCTATGGAACAGAAGGTGCAAAAGGGGCTGAGGGAAGGGAGGGGGTCTGCCTGAAACTGAAGGTGACAGCTGAACAGAAACCTGATTGGTTGCTAAGGTTCTCAGGCCCAGCCTGTCCTCCAGCATAGCTGCTCCCAGTCAATGGAAGATGTCTGGCTGCTTTGGGCCTGCTTGCTTTGAAAAGGGAGGGAGGCATCTCTTTTGTTTTGTGAACAACTGGTTTTGGGCTAGGAGGAGAGCTCTCAGAATACAGGCCCTTGTCCTCACTGGGTTCAGTGCCTGTAGGCTCATTTCTTTGCGAAAGAGACCATAGAGGAGTAGGGGAAGAGGGGCGAGGCGGGGGGGGGGGGGGGAGAGGGGGGGGGTCGGCAATGGCTCCTCACAGCTCCTCACAGCTTACCTGGGCCCCCCTCTCTTCATCCAGTTCCACTGTCATGAGGGCTGACGTTCCCTTCTCACTCACAGTCGAGTGCCGGCCTTGCCAGAAGAAATAGACACACTTCTCTTTGCCAGCCACTCTTGCCGGATGGTCTCCCCTTTGTCGGCTTCCCACTGCAGACACAATGGCAGAGGGTGAGGGGCAGCAGATAAATGGCTGGGCCTCTCCCCCAGAATCTGTGAGAGAACCAAAGTGGGGTGCCATCTTTTTCTCAGCTGACTGATGGCTCCCCTGGGAACCCTGCACATCATGTCAGGCAGAGGCAAATGCCCTCTGACCATAGTGTGTGACCAAGAGCAGAACCAGGCTTGCACACAACCACTTTCCTACATTCTCCCACTCTTGTCAGAGGATCAGCTGAGGGAGGGATGATGTCAGCAACAGCTGGAGGAGCTTCAAGAGCAAAGGAAGCAACATGGACCATTGTAAAGGAATGACGGAGTCTGACTTCCCCCTCTTCACATCCCAGCCATGAGGCGTGAACATGCTGTCACCTTGTGTTCTCCGCACTGGTGTGCTGTGTACCCACTGGCTCTGAACAGTGCCTAAAATACACTACATTTCCTAAAGCAGACATTTTGACTAATGTCCTTAACAGTTTCCTCAGCACACCCAAACTTAGTTCTACACAGAATAACTTATGCTCAATGTATTTGTTTTAAATTTTGGTAATGTAAAGGTTTATTAGTAAGTACACCAGACTATAGTCATTACAACTCAGATCCCTAAGTTAGAGTGCTGATAACTCACACCATCAAAGAACTTTCAAGAATAAGTCTTTTCTGGGCTGTGGCGATTGCTCAGTTGAAGGATCCAAGTTCTATCCCTAGAACCCATGCTTAGTGGGGGAAGAAAACCTGTATGGTCATGTGCAATGTTGGGAAGATGGAGACAGGTAGATCCTTGGAGCTTGCTGGCCAGCCACTCAGCCCATTTGTGAGCCCCAGGCCAGTGAGGGACCCTGTGCAGAAAAAAACAAAGATGGCGGACGGTGCTGAGGACAGCAGATTAGGCTACCCTCTGGCCTTCACATGTATGTGTCCTGGGTATGCATACACATATACATGTGCACAAAAGAGCAATACTGTTTATCAGTCATAGCCTCAAGAGATGAAGACTGCTCCTGATCAAGCCTTTCACCAGAATCCAACTTCCTGACCATTTCCAAAGCAACCTGCCTCTGCCTCTGGGGGCTCCACCCACAGAGTTTATGACCCCTCATGACCCTCCAGGGCACAGACCATGATGCAGCTTGCAAACGGTCATGGGGCAGGACCCAGACCTAAGTGGGCTGGTGGAGTTGTCATCTTGCTGGTAGAATGCTGCTGGAGCTATTGATAACATGCTGTCGTGCTCGGGGGAAGACGTACAGCATGGGGAGGGATTATTTGCCAGCATCACTGCTTCCGTGGGGGCGAGGGTGGAGCTCTGGTCTATGGATGCTGTGATCACCTCAGATCCTTGGCAGTACTAACTACTCACTTCATCCTATTCCTCACTCACGATTACATTGGTCTCATGACTTAGAAGCCAGGTATGAAGATGACTAAACCTATTATATTATTCCTTTGTCTCCTCTGATTAAGTTTGCAGTTTCCTATCTACATTATGGACGCGTTTGTCCCCTACTTTCGGAAATCGTCTTTATTTTGGGTAATTACAAGACATTTCAAACTGTTCTGTTTTGCTGTGTCTGGTGAAAATTTCTATGGTGGAGTTTCCCAGCAACTACAATAAAGACAGATACCAGGCACCATGATAAACACTCAAACACATTAAACACTCAAAGCAGCATACACAGGGCTGGTCAAATGTTTTCTGGAACAGGCACTGCCTTTGTAAGAAGGAACCAACTGAAGCTATTTTGAATAAGAATTCCATTCTGAATATGGGTCAAATAAAGTGTAAGTTCCCAAGACCTCCCTGGGTAACTGCCATCCTGGACAGCACGTAAGACATAAATGCTAGGCAAGTCTTCCCACTACAGTTGAACAACCCAACCAATGGGGACAGGGTAAGTGTATGACAAGGACATGTTCCTTAGAAAGTCCCTATCCCTAAATCTTGATTGGTGGGAAAATGTAACTCTAACTTGGCACAGATGTTTGTGGTTTTCAAGCTTAAAAGCTCAGTAACATTCTGGCTCTCAGGTGTGGTGGTGGTTGGTAGGGTGTCACAGGTCACTTTCCCAGTTTATTCTGTGGCCCTGATCTATAAGTAGCAATTTGATTACAATACATTTTTGTCATCTGCATTGACCTGGTATGCAAACCCCATAACGCCTTCCTCATATTCTGAGAGAAGGCCAGGGCTCAGAGAGGTTGAGCAACTTTACCCAGCATGCCTAGCAAGGTTCTGAGCTTCCTACTCCGGCCATGGATTCAGACACCTGTGGCCTCATTCACTGAGGTGGCCTCTTTAGGAAAGGGACAGCAGATCTGATGGCTCTTAGGAAGGAGGGGACAAGAAGTACCTCCCCCACTGCTGCCTGATAGCCTGGAAGGAGAGGCCATACTTTGGAGACCCATTTTTGCTTCTCCTTGTTTAGCAGGCCCCAGAAGTACAGAGTGCACTGAAGTGCAGCCCCAAGCCAGCCAGCCCTGCTGCTCTCTACATCCCAGGGTCAGATCTAAGCCCCCTTCTGCAGGGAGAGGCACAGTGGGGGCATGTCACAGTTGGCTCTAAAGAGGGCAGGTAGTCTGCAGCCTGCTGCTCTGCCCTCTACTAGACAGGTGGGTGTGCTGTTCTTCATCTGAGAAGTCAGGACAATGACAGCTGCTGTAAGGGGCATGGGCAGACCCCAGCGTCTTGCCTGAGGTGTCTAGCTGCAGAGTATTTCACCGACACCTACAATAACCTCAGGACCCAGGAAGCTGAGGAAGGAAGATTGAGATCCCATCTTCAAAATCAAACCAAACCTAATTAAGCCAAGCCCAAAAAAACAAACTTCACGAATAAAAAAATTTAAAAATTATTCCACTTAATATTTACCATTCCAGATCCATGAAACAGAGTTAGTGCTCCTATCTTCAAGGGGGAAGGAGGAAGAGGAAGAGGAGGAAGAAGAGGAGGAAGAAGAGGAGGAGGGGAACGAGGAAGAGGAGAGAGAATATGTATGCTAACAGGTCAGAAGTAGAGTCCAGTGTCTTTCTCTGTCACTTTCCCCCTTACTTTTAGAGACAGGGTCTCTCATTGAACCCAGAGCTCACTGACTGGATACACTGAGTGGCCAGTGAGCTCTGGGGATCTGCTGTTTCTGCCTCTCCAGTGCTGTGGCCATCCATGTCCAACATTAATGAGCATGCTGGGCATCCAAGCTCAGAAAAAACTTTACCCACCGAGTTATCTCCCCAGCCCCAAGAGTTTATTTTATTGAAAATAAAAGGCAGAACCTTCAGTGGCTCAGGTGACTATCCTGCTACCGAGCTGCACCCCAGCACTTCCACTTCTTCAAAACAAATCTTTACTTGTGCGTTCTGTTCCATGCTGAAGCACCGTTGGCATTCGGTTTAAGTGACTCTCATACACCACACTCAATGGCTTCTTCACACGGCACACAGGCCACATGTCAATACCGTGCGGAAGCATATCAGGACTTTCCCAGAACCCTCTTGAGGGTAGCACAAGAGTGAGGAGAAGGCGCACTTCAGCTTGTTTTGTTTTAAATTGGCAGTGAGTATCAGCATCCTGGCCATCCAGGCTGCCAGCCATCTCACTGTGTTTCTCTCCTGGCCCTTCCTTACCTGCACATGGCTAGATTGCCTCATGGCTCCCAGGGTGATGCAGGGGAGCCTGCCCCAGAGGCGGCCTTCCGAGCCTTCTGAACAGAAGGAATGCGTGTGCCCACTGACCTGCTGTGCTCGCCATGTACTTCCACTTGACCACATAGGCGTCCCCCTCATGGAACTGTCCAATGCTCTGCCTGGGGAGCCTGCTGTAGTCAAATTCCAGAATATGCCACACATCCACAGAGACGGTGGCAATCTCAAACTGTCTTCTGTCGTCTCCTTCCACCAGCCCATAGCCACGGCCAACGTTCACCCCATCTAAGATGGTGCTGGCTGTCATCTGGGGTGTCGCCACCATCCGTGTCACATCATAGGGCTTGATGTCAGCCCTGGGGTCATCCTAGAAGAGAGCAAAGATGTTCAGACTCTCCCTTGCTGCAGACAGACATCTTTTGTTACACCTAGCAGTTTGGGATGCTTTTCTCTTTCTGATGGTGCTGGAGGGAGAGCCCAGGGCTTGGTTGCCAGCAGGCCATTGTCCATAGAACTATGTCCCCAGCCCCATCATAGCTGCTAGTGAGACAGTGCAGACATACAGCTTTCATGGCATCTTGGGGTATCTGACTGCACTTAGAAGGCTATGTTGGGTTAGCATCTGAGGATCCTGAATAGCCACACAGTGATGGTGAGAATGGAATCCAGAAAGCATTTTGCCTCGTCACTAGTGTTGCTTTTTGCCACCACAGCCATTTTTTGCTGGTTTCCACTCAGTGGCTGTACCTTCTGCTGGACAACTTCCCCAGAATTCTTCTCCGTGGGTCTCTTCAGTTCTGTCCAGTCAAGGAATTTCTCTTTGAACAGAATAGTCTCATTGTGCTCAGTAACTCTTCCAAATATTGCCCAGTCAGGCCGCCCTTGTCCTTTCCTGCAGCGTGGGAGGGGTAAGAAAAGGGCCTAGATTCAGCCATGGTAGCTGTTGGAGCAACCACAAGATGCTCACACCCATCACCAAGCCTCAGATGAGTGAATTCTGTAACTTTCCTCTGCAGGCTTGCAGAGATGACTATAGAAGCAGGCTTGGCCTCAGCTTTGAATCTGCTTCTTACAAGCTGTGAAATGGAGTAGGAAACACTCCATTTCATGTGAAATGGAGTAGCTTCTGATGAAGGGCATGACTCTGGGAGCAGGATCTGGGCTTCTTCATCTACTTCCTCTTGTGACTGACACACTGGTCAGGGCCTAGTCATCTCAACTCAGGGCTGTCAGCTGCCGTGTGTCAAGAGGGACTGGGTGCACTATCTTGGCTGCACCTTAAAGTCCCCAGGGAGCCAGCATTATTATATCTAAATAAAGCACTCTCAGCTTTGTCTCAGCCCTTCAAAATCCTAGAAATTACAGTATTAATCAGTATTTGCTTAAAGATTTAATTTTTTCAATACATTGATTATATACTTAATTTTTGTTATTTTCTCTTCTTTCTTTTTTCTTTCTTTCTCTCTTTTTTTCCAGATAGGGTCTCTCTCTTATTCTGTGACTCTGGTTGGTCTGGGATTCATGTAGCCCAGGGCAGCCTTAATCTCATGAGTGACTCTTGTGCCTCAGTTTTCTGGTACTAGGATTATAGTTCTAGCTTTAATTATTGAGACAAACTATTATCAAAAGCAGTTACTGGATTTTAAAGGGAGAAACTATGCAGGAAACCTGAAAGTTTTACTGTTTTATGTTGTTTTATATCATGCCTGTTCTTATTACATGCTAGAAACAGTTTTTAAGCATTTGGAGGGTCTGGTAGTTAAAAAGTTAATGTAAGAATACTTTTAAATTCATGGTCATCATTTTAGATTCTTTACCTACTCTGATGATTTCCCCAAATGGTTTTCAAAAATCTGGCACATGGAGAGTGTTAAGATCACACTCACTCTTCCAGCACAGTATTCTCCTTCCCTGCACCCCAGCACACATGAAGACCACAGTGTCCAGGGCTCAGGGGCTGTGGGCTCAGGGCAGAAAGACACCTTCAGAAACCTGGGAAATATTGACTTATCACCACAGACAAGAGATGTAGGGGTGGCAGGGGCAGTGGGGATGAGTCAGTGGGGTTGAGGGGTGTTCCTAAAACTACAGCTTCCAGACTCATGAGTTAGGTGACAGCTAAGGGAGAGTTCTGTTCTGTGACCCACCCAGGCTGCAGCATGTAAGCATTTCCTAAATCTGCAGCCTCTGTGTGAGGAGCAATGCTGGATGCCTGTGGAAAGAGTTGGCATGCACAAGACCCATGTGGGCGGGCAGAGCAGGGGCACCTGGGAATGAGCGAGTTGCACTCTCCGGGGTCCAGGGGGTTGATGTCACAGTTCTCATAGTCAAAGGTTCCGTTCCATAAGTGCTTAGCCAGCTGGAATGCTATTTTCCGTTGTGCTAATGTGACTTCCTTCCCATGCCACACGTAAACTTCACTACCAAAGTCAAACACCAGAACCTGGAGACAGCACAAAAAAATGACGTGTGAACTCCGGGGCTTCAGCTCTGCTGATGATGCCACACTTCTTAACACTCGCACCACCCAAAGCTTTAAATCAAGAGCTATGTAAAGACCTCACTGTCTTCCTTCCCTCCTCTCTACCTAGCTTCTCCCTCCTACACTCACTCTCACATACACTCATTCATTCACTCATTCATTCATTCATTCAACACTCAGCTTATCACACACATAGCAGGTGCTAAGGAGCCAACATTGCCCCTACTGTGTGCAGTTCTGAGACCCTTCAGGGCAGACATCATATCATTCCTACCTTAGGGCCTTAGCGCTGAGTGTCTGTAGAATGAGCCTATGAATGGAACGCTGTTGTTCTGCCTTATTTCCAGCACTCGGAAGTCTGTTTTAACTCTCAACTAGGCTCCATTTCATCTCTTCTTAAAATTATTTTTTTCTGTGACTTTGTTCCCATTTAAATGTCTACATACATGCTTAAGATGTCATTTCCCTCAGTTTATTATTAATATATATTATTATACATTTGAATGTATCTATACCACATACACAGGATGCTCCGGGACACAGACAGGCAAGGTGTGCGTACCAGCACAGCGACGGACACTGGCAACACCTCATTCTGCTGCTCACTCCTGCTTGCTGTTATCTTAGTGGCAACAGCAGCTAATTCTACATTTTGCAGGGATCACAGCAGCGACAGCTGACTGACTGTAGCTGCATGTTGATACATTCTGCTCCCCCATACCTGTTGCTTCTGCCCTCTGACCCTCCTCCCAGGTGCATTCCCTCCCCAGGCCTGGCCTTGCAAGTTTCTGTTTTCTTTTCTGATTATCTTATTTCCTTGGGGCGGGAATTCCACATATAGATGAGATCACAGAATATTTTTCTCTCCATGTCGGACTTATTTCACTTAGCTGGTAAGCTCTAGGTGTAATTAACATTCTTGGTATTTACTATAAGTTTTAAAATTAGATTAGTGTTGTGTATATGTGTGAAGTGTAAACGAACACGCTCTGTAGTCAAAAGACAGAATGGCTAGAAGAGAAAATACGGGGCTGGAGAGGAGACTCAGTGGTGAAGAGAATATACTGCTTTTCCAGAGGTCCCAGGTTCGATTCCCAGCAAGCACGTGGTGGCTCACAGTGGTCTGTAACTCCAATGCCAGAGGGTCTGATGCCCTCTTCTGACCTCTGTGGGCATGGTGTGCATATGGTATAGAGATATACATGCAAGGAACATACCCATACATGTTAAAATAAAATAAAAAAGAAAATCTGGTGACTTTTAGAAAGAACATTATTAATTTATTTGTGTGTGTGTTCATGTGCACACACACAAGGAAGTCAGAGAATAACTCAAGGGAGTTGGTTCTCTCTGTCCTCCATGTGGGACCTGGGAACTGAACTCAGGTCTCCATGGTTGACATTACATTTACTCACTGAGCCATTGTGCTGGCCCTGAATTCTTTCTATGATTCTACCCAATGACTTTGTATGGATTCCCCTTTCCTCTCAGCAATTATTACTGGGGCGAGTGAAAAAAAAACTTAGACAAATCTGTAGATTAATTATATGTAGCTTCATATACTCACATTAATTATTCCTGAAACTTTAGGACTAACTAAAATTTACTTTAATCTTATATGACTCAAGATGCAGAGATAATATTTGTATTTTATGTAAAATATAAAATCCTTCAATAATCCATGCCACTTTTGAAAAATATTCTAAACTTTGTTTGTATGGTAGAGATAGTCATATGGTTTGAAATAGTAAATAGGTATCCTTTAGCAAGTGCCGTGCTTGATAGTCAGCATGGACCCAGGTAGAACTCTCTGAAGTTCTAGATCCTTGAAGCTGGTACCTCTTTGGACTGCAGAAGGGAACACTTGGGAATCTTCCCCCAGTAGTCATCATCGGGAACGAGCTTGTCGTCTGTCAGGCGGTAGACACAGTTCGTCTCTATGATGGCTGTCTCGTACAGTTCATCTTCCTTTGGGTCTCCGGCAGCTTTGGGGTAAGACAGGACATTAGAAAGTAGTTGGCTTAAGAGGATCAGGTAACGGATAGGGCTGGGAACACAGGATGTCCAAGCCTCTCCACTATGAAATATGGTAAACTCTTACACTGGTAACTGGTCTGGCCACCCAGGAGCTTCCAGAAGTCTTTGGCTGCATGAGTATGTGTGTTAATTCCTTCCTCAATGGTCTGGATGTATGTAGCTCTACAACCAAGCTCCCTCTTTGTCTGAATTAATGTTGCAAGTTCAGATGCCTGGAAAAGAACAGGACACAATGACCTGGGAAGAAAAACCAGTGTGGTCTGCACATGCTGCCATCAGCGAAAACTGAATGTACAAGAAAGGCATGAGACATAGGGTGGTACACATTGGTTGTCTCAGCCAAGAAAATGTAATTGTGGAAGCAGATATATCAAGTCTTTGGAGCAATAGCCCTGAGTGTGAAATTCAACTGGGGCTGTGTCAGCATGTGTGTTAATTCCTTCCTCAATGGTCTGAATGTATGTAGCTCTACAACCAAGCTTGATGTGTCAGATTCAACAGATAACTCATAGGCTTTGAACACTATCCTGGGGCTTCCCTCAGACCCAGGGCTTTCCAACTGGAGATGAATGTCACAGACCTTCACTTCAGTACCTCACGGAAGCTTCTTCAGAGTCATTGGCAAAGGAAACATATGCTACCTGTCCCTTTCTGTTTGAACGAAACATGAGGTATCTGAGAAGCTCAGCATGGACCAGAGCACCTCACTATCGTATAAAGGATGCAGCAGTAGAAACAGCTTGTCATTTAGACACTGACCTTTGCTTTCTCGATGACATTGGAGAACTCCCCCACCCACAGGAAGCAGTACTGAGGAGAGAGCAGAAGGAAGCAGTCCCCACTGTTGAGTGATGAGGCGCGAGGTTCCACCAGCCTTGTCTGCACATGTCTTCTTCCTGTGGACAAGCCCCAGAGGCCTTTTACCATTGTGCAGATGCCCATGATGGACAAATCCCAGCCACACACTTCCCATTCTAAAGACTCTTGACTACCAGTATAAGTTCCCACAACCAGCCACACATGAAAGTTAAGATGGGTCACATGATAGCGAAATCAGTTGGTGTTGCTGGTCAATGCATGCCCTAAGTTCTCCGAGCTATTTAGAAGCAGCCTCAGAGCCTTGGACGTTTAGTGTGCCTGTGGATGTAGCGAGGTTCTCCTGTCTTAGAAGAGTGGCAAGGACACCCTGACCTCTCTGTCATGCTGCCTTCTCTTCTCAGCCTATGTCCTGAGCTCACACCCAGCAGTGCTGTAGGGCAAGGCATGCCTCCCCACAGGATCTCTTTCCACAGGCACTGTAACTCCAGAGCAACCGGATGGGACCAGCTTGGAGGGAAGTACTGCTTTGTATCCCTTACAACTCCCTTCTAAGTGATTCGCTGAGGGAGAGCATTTCGTGTTCCATACCTAGTCTGATTTCTGCGTCAGCGCTCCTCGCTTGTTTCTTGTGAGCATTGTGTGCATAAGTGTGTGCAGGTGTGCGTACACACACATGGATATGTGGTGATCAGAGGAGGATTCCAGTGGTTTTCTTCCCTAGGGACTGAAGCTGAAGCTTGCCATTTTACCTAGACTGGCTGGCAAGTAAGCTCCTGGGATCTGTCTGACTCTGCCCTACAATGCTGGGGTCACAGGCATAGACACTCATGACTGATTTTTATGTGGGCATCAGGGATTCAAGCATGGGTTCTCATGCTGATAGAAGAAGCAGTCTTACTCACTGAGTTATCTCCCCACTTTACACTAATCTTTTAAATACACCAAAAAGGAAACGGGAAAACACCCTAGAATCCTTGGTAGAGGCAGAAGTACTCCATTCATCCTTCACTTGATTCAAGGGTGATGATCTTGGCAATCCACAGGTGACATGGTCACCTAGGAGTGGGGCTGCCCTCCCTCCTCACAGCCCTAACTTCCTGCTGCTCCTTCAATAGGACAGGAGAGTGGAAACTGGGGATGGGTGAGGCTCACTCCTGCCTTCCCATGATTCCTTCCCCAGGGATGTGTTTCCTTAATCTGGCTGGTACGGGTCATGCCTTATCCCAGTAGGGAGAACTGAGAAGGGTGTGCAGCCCAATGCTGGAGACTGATGGCATATGTGGTAAAGCGCACAATAGGGTTGGGGTATGGGCTACCGGGGCAGAGGAAGCAGGACCAAAAGCTGAGATTCTGAAAGGGTAAAAGACCGAGTCCAACTCCAGTCTCCTACTCAGCGACTCGCTTGTCCTCATTCACAAACTCTCAGAGATCCCGTGGGCAGAATATTCCCGGCCCGATGGAGTCTGTGATGCCACAGTGTAGCACCCAGAAGGGGAGACCCAGACTGCGTGCCCTGCCCTCTCATAGGCAGCAATGGATTCAGCCAGGAGTCTGCTGTGCTACAGTGACCAGACAGACAGAAACCACAGCCTGCCAAAGTTCCTTTGGACCACTCCATAGAATACCTTTAATCTGCAGCAGCATGAGCTTCTTGTAGGGCACGGCGCTGTTATTGGAGTTTTGCTCCATCAGGTTGACGCTCCGAAGGTTGATGCTGCTGAAGTTCTCCCTACTGGCTAGGCCTGCCAGCGTCACCTCTGAGAAGTTGGAGTTGGATGACACTGTGAAGGGAAGTCGGGAGCATGCACAGTTGAAAGCCAGTGTTTGTAGTCATAGGTGACTCATTCTGAGGAGCTGCACTGTTCAATGCCCTATCAGTGTGTGCAGGATTAAATGCAGCACAGGACACATCAGCCATGGTGGACGAGTCTCACAGAACTTGTCACCCTGCGGGAGACTGTTCTTCTAGACGGTATTTAGTGAAACAGTTCTCTTTTATCCAGGGTGAAAGAGCTGAAGGAACCTTGAGGACTGTAGGGGTTTTCAGAGACCATACATTATTGGCTAGGGCTGAGGTGCTGGAAATGCTTCATTTGCATGAAAGGGATCTCAGGTACTTAAACCTGTAACTTGATCTCAAGGCTACATGATTACCTCAAGGGCAGAGGTGGGGGTCACACAGGCTACATGCACAGGGCATGCAGGCCTGGGCAGGGAGGGAGTGATCCTTGCTGCAGCCAGTATCAAGATGAGATTTTTGAGGTTTTGGACATGTCTCGACCTCACTCTTACTGGAGGCCATCTCCACCTGTCACACAGCTCATGTGCCCCACAAGATTCTAACACTGCCACCAGACACTGTCCTATTTGGTACCTCAGATGGCTCCTGCCTTTTGGGAAGGAAGCATTTCTCAGTCAACTAGTTAGAATGAGAAGACAATTATTTTTTCTAAATTTTCCCTTTTTCCTCCTTTCCACTGCGTGGAGAAAGGTTAGATGGTTTAGGGCAGCGGGACTTGGAATGAAGCCTCCTTTCCTCCCCTCCCCCCCCCCCCCCGCCCCCCCCCCTCCCCCCCTCTCCCCCCCTCTCCCCTCCTGCCGCGAGGGGTGGGAC